AGGTTTTGGGCAGGGTCTTAAACCCTAAACCCTGAACCCGAAACCCTCAACCCTAAACTCTAAACCCGAAACCCCCAAAAAACACCTTAAATCCTCAACCCGAGAGTTCCGTTTGAAGGGGACCGTATGAAAGAACCCTGTTGTTCCCCTTTAAGGGCTCCTCTACAGCGAATCCCAGAAAGTTGGCACACTGTGTTTTTTGAGCATGTGTGCTAGGATCTCCTATACTTTACCTTAAGGCCATGAGGAGAATCATGTTCCAACTTTCTGGCTTCTACTATACCGTAAACCCTAAACCCTAAACCCCTCAACCCTAAACCCTAAGCCCCACTAAACCGTGCTCCCTATAGTTCCCCTCTAAGGGCTCCACCCTAAACCCTAAACCCTTAACCCTAAATCCGAAACCCAAAAAACCCTATAAACCCTCAACCCTATGGTTCCTTTTAAAGGGGACCGGATTAAAGTTCCGTTTAAGGGCTCCACCCTAAACCCCAAACCCTAAAGCCCCGAAACCCTAAACCCTAAAACCCGAAACCCTCAACCCTAAAACCCTAAACCCTAAACCCTAAACCCTAAAACCCTAAACCCTAAACCCTGTTGTTCCCCTTTAAGGGCTCCTCTACAGCGAATCCCAGAAAGTTGGCACACTGTGTTTTTTGAGCATGTGTGCTAGGATCTCCTATACTTTACCTTAAGGCCATGAGGAGAATCATGTTTTTAAGGACCTGAGCGAGGAGTGGGTGGCAGCGGCTGCCAGCAACGATCTCCCACTGAGAGAAGAAACTGCAGGCGTGGTGCTGCTCAACATGGCCTGCCATCCGGTCGGAGCTCTGGCAATGTGGCTGCACGCAGACCGAATGCGGCGAGGAGGTTCTGCCTGGACTATAACCGCAGCGGTGGACACGCTGGCCCAGGTGTGGGGCAAGAAGCGGCCGTTGATGGAGAAAATGCAGCTGAAGATACCGCAACAAGTGCAGAAGCGAGCTCAAGAGATTTTCACGATCTACAAGCAACAGGCCGAGTACGCCTCTGTGGGCGGAAGGCCCATGGACGAGTAGTGAGGCCGCAAGAGCAGGGAGCATCGCAATGCCATCCGGGCGATGCCCCCTGGAGTGCTGTGATCGGATGGCCGAAAATACGTGCGCTAAGCATCAACACGTTGTGCGCACTGAGCTGCCTGCCATGCCCTGTGGATTGTGGTGAAGGTAGATGTGTCGGGTGCTCCCGCTTCGGCGGAGACATGACTCTGAACTCGCTGTTCGGAGGATCACCCTGCTACTTGAGATTCGCAGTGGGTGCTTGTGGCTTTTTCTTCTGATGCCAATCTGCTTCATTCGTTGAGGCGGTTAACGCCCAATGAGGCAAAGTGCATATCCTGAGGTGGGAGGGAGGGTTTGATTTTTTACACGTACGTGTAAAAAACAATTAACAACATGCTCTGTGATCGTTAGGGGTAGCTGGCAAGCCGACTCGAACTTGTTGTCTGAAATGCCAGCTTGATGACCCCAGCAGTTTTTTGATCAAGTCCGTAGCTTGATGTGTTATCCAATGAAAAGGCGCTAAACCAAGCGAGGCTACGTCCAGGTGTGGTGAGTACCTGGGTCACTGGAAATTCGCAGTGGAAATATTCCCTGCTTTTGATCCGCACGCTGTTCACAGCTTTTCCAAAACAAGCTTACTTTGCTGAGTGCGCGCTCCGTGATCCCATATTGCTTTGAGCCCCACTAAACCGTGCTCCCTATAGTTCCCCTCTAAGGGCTCCACCCTAAACCCTAAACCCTTAACCCTAAAGCCCCTAAACCCTAAACCCTAAACCCTCAACCCTATGGTTCCTTTTAAAAGGGACCGTATTAAAGATCCGTTTAAGGGCTCCTTGAAAGGAAACCCTAAACCCTAAACCCTAAAGGCCCTAAACCCTAAACCCTAAAACCCGAAACCCCAAACCCTAAACCCTCAACCCTAAACCCTCAACCCTGAAACCCGAAACCCGAAACCCGAAACCCTAAACCCTAAACCCTAAACCCTAAACCCTAAGCCCCTTTAAAGGAAGCCCATGGCGCAGGTCTGGGTCCGACTCTACAGGGACGCTGTGACCCGACGAGAGCGCCAGGTTCCGGTAGCTTTTCGGGGGCTTTGGGGCTTTAGGGGCTTTAGGGGGCTTTAAGGTTACTTAGAGTTTAGGGTTCGGGGCTTTGGGGTTTTAGGGCTTTGGGGGTTTTAGGTTTTTAGGGCTTTAGGGCTTTAAGGTTTTAGGGTGTTGGGTTTTGGGGCTTTAGGGTTACTTAGAGTCTTAGAGTTTGGGATTTTAGGGTTTAGGGGTTTTTAGGTTTTCTTAGGGCTTAGGGTTTAGGGTTTAGGGGCTTTAAGGTTTTAGGTTTTTTAAGGGGTTTTAGGGTTTTAGGGCTTAGGGTTTTGGATTCTAGGGTTTAGGGTTTTAGGGGTTTGGGTTTTAGGGGTTTTAGGGGTTTAGGGTTTGGGGTTTAGGGGGGCCTCAGTGCATCCGAGTCGTTGAAGTTTTCCCAAAAGAAACCCTTAGAAGGGAACTGCAGGGTTCTTTCATACAGTCCGCTTTAAAAGGAACTACAGGGTTCTATATGATGAAAGGCTCCCCTTTAAAGGGCACTATAGGGTTCTTTAATCCAGATCCCGAAAAAATAGGATCCCTTAATTAGATAGATCCCCTAAACCCTCAACCCTAAACCCTAAGATAGATCCCTTAAAAATTAACCCTGTAAGGAACTTGTGGGGGTTCCCTTTGCGGCATAAATGCTTCAATGCGTTTCTACAGGGGTCTGTAGGGTTCAATGGGAGTTCATGGCTTAAGACTTAAGACTTACTTCAAGGGATCCCTTCTGGGTTTAGGGTTTAGGGTTTAGGATTTTTGTGGTTTTGGGTGTATGGGGGTTGAGGGTCCTAGAGGGGTTTCAGGGCTTTAGCGGTTTGGTATCGGTTGTCAATGTTGGGGTTTCAAGTTGAAACTAGTTCCAGGGTTCTCTCTTGATGTGGCTTCATTAAGTTTTGTAGGACTTTAGAATTTGAGGCTTTGGGGGTGTGTTTCGAAAGCTTTGGGGATCAGCGTAGCTCTAAGGATTCTTTCGAAGGCGGGCGAGGGTTGAGGGCTTCAGGGATGTTCAGGGCAGTTCTTAGGGTTAAGGGTTTAGGGCTAGGGTTTTAGGGTTTTAGGGTTTAGGGTTTGCTTTCAGTTTAGGGTTCTAGGGTTCTAGGGTTTCGGTTTCAATTTCAGTTTAGGGTTGTAGGGTTTCGATTTCAGTTCAGGGTCCTAGGGTTTAGGGTTTAGGGCAAGGATGCCAGATTCCGGGCTGCCTGCGAAGCTGGGATTGGCTGCTTGGGTTTCAGCTAAGCTTGATGTAATGTCTCTGAATCACCAAAACTGATCTTAAACTCCTAGGCCGTAAAGTGCCAAAAGCTGACATCACTCAGCCCAGGACCCTAAACCCTATAAGCCCTATAAACCCTAAACCTATAGACCCTAAACCCTATAAGCCCTGAACCCTATAAATCCTAAACCCTAAACCCTAGACACCCTCAGTTTAACCGAAACTTCAAGGCCAAATCCCCTCAACTGCACTGTGGAGCACACGAAACTCAGAAATTCCTGAGCGGCACCCGACATGATTTTGCCCAAAGCCCTAAAACCTAAACCGAGGGTTTAGGGTTGGCGGTATTTAGGGTTTAGGGCTATAACCCTAAACCCTAAACCGAAATCCTGCCCTAGACTAACATGCTAGGGCGAATGCTCTAAGCGCGAGATGCCAGGAGAAGCTCCGGGCAGAGAAGCAGGCGAGACCTTGACACACCCAGACCGGTAGCAAAAAGGTATGGTGTCATTACCCTTTTTAGGGTTTAAAAGTATTGTGTCAGCATATTTAAGGTTTAAGGTAGAGGGTTTAGGGTTTAGGGTTCAGGGTTGATATTTTAGGGTTTAGGGTTTCAGGGTTTAGGGATTAGGGTTGAGGGCTTTGGGTTTCTTTTTGTAGGCATCATTCCGACTGCGGCCAAGGATTATGAGCATATTTGCTACCAAGACTTAATTACTTTCCTCTTATGATTGCTTGCATCGCTGTTGCTGTGGCAGCCAGCTACTGCGATTATCTACTACTGCTACTGGCGCCTTGACTGTCGATAATGCTGCTGCTGCTCAGAATTGCGGCTTTATTCACAATTAGCAAGGCAGTGGTAGCAACAGCAGAAGGAACAGAAAAGGGAAACCAATACTGATATACCAATGATCGAACCGTACTAGTATTCTAACCACAGATCATCGGGCTTTGGCTGACAGCATCAATGCGCTGAAACCTAGCCCGGATACCAGCCCTAACCCTAAACCCCAAGCCCTAAGCCCCAACGCCAAGCCAAAAAACACCAGAGGCCCAAACCCCAAGCCCCAAGCCCTAAACCCCTCTAGTCGTGAAGCCCATGTAGAGCCCCTTCATCGAACCCTGATAGACCCCATATAGAACCCTTGTAGAGCCCTTTGAACCCTCATGGCACCCCTAACCCCCTAAGCCCTAAAACCTAAGCCCCAAGCCCTAAACCCTAAACCCTAAACCCTAAACCCTAACCCCCTAAACCCCCCTAACCACCTAAACCCCTAAACCGCAGCCTGCAGGCACAGCAGCAACAAGACCGCGAGACCCGAGAGGACCAGGCTCGCTCATTGGCCCAGGGTGTTTTCTTATTCTCGTGTGGGGTTTAGGGTTTAGGGTTTAGGCTTGAGGCTTTAGGCTTTAAGGTTCAGGTTTTAAGGTTTCGGATTTAGGGTTCAGGGTTTAGGTTTGATGTAGGGATTTACAGGTGTTTTAGTTTAACAAG